TATAGGAAACCATTTAACTTATTTTCTGGCTTTCAACTTTTCGTGCTCGTCCAGAATCATTTACCTCACAGCTTCACATTTATTTTTACTACATTTTTAATGTGAAGTTTCAAATGGGGATGCCATATCTTTTTTACTACCCATTATGTATTTCTGGTTGCACCCGTTACAACTTGCCCTCTCTTTCCATCATCACCAACCCCCAGTCCTATGAAAATATTTTCAAGAATCAGAAGTTGTTGACTTATCCTTTTTGTTATTAAGTTGAACATTTTCCTTATCATTTTCAACTTCATTCTGAGTTATGTAGTCCTCTTTGTCATTGACACCAACATTCGAAGTAGGTTTAATAGTTGACTCATCCATCAATATAAGTTACTGAATACTTACCATACTGATGGACGACGCTCCGAGGAGAAGACGGAACTTGAGCGATTTCGACTCCTCGAGGCATCCTTGACATTGATGCACAGCGGAAAGAAGCAGAGGAAGCAAATGAGGCAGTGGAAATAGCTGAAGAACTAAGAACCCTAGGTTTGGAGGTTTGGAGGTTTGTTCGGTGGAAACTTTAGGGATGGAGGTAGGAGAGGGTTTAATCGGTGGAGAACATAGATCGAAGGTGAAATGGTGCTAGAATAAAGTTTCAATCAATGAAATCACTGAGACGAGGCATTTAACCGATAGAGATGAAGGTAAACAAGGATCTAATCGGTCAAGAGGCATAGAAGGGAAAGGTTCGAGTAAACCCTAGCAGATGAGGGTTAGGTCTGCACGAGTGAGTTTGAAAGGTAGAAGAAAGGCTTACGGTTTGATGCTGTGATGGTGGATTTGTGAGGAAAATGGTTGATGGAGGAGGCGCTCTCGTGGAAGACAAACCTGATTGAAGAGGTTGTCCTTGGTTTGGATTCGAGATGGAGTCGAGATTTGGTGAGGGTGAAACCAAAAATGGCGGTCGTCGGGGAGAGAGAGTGGAAATAGGGTTTGGGTCAAGGGATATCTCAAGATGTGGTGCTACGCGAATGAAATGTGACGCTCGAAAGAGGTTTCGAGACTGAGTGTGAATGAAGACGTGTTGTAAGGACAACGTGAAGATGTGGATGAAGCGGGACGTGCCACAAGCGGATTGGTGAGAATAATGGTTGTGTGTAGAAGTGAAATCTGATGGGAAATGAAATAGAATGGTAAGGTGGTAAATGGAAGGTGGCCGGGGAGAATCATTGGATTCTCCGGCCTTGACTTTCAAGGGTGAATTGGTTCTGGAGTCATCTCTACATAAATGCAATTCAATATTCCCAAAGTGTCTTACAAGAGGTGGTAGCATGTCTATATATAAGACTAACAGTCCCTCCTATCTATCACATACCTAACACCTTTTACACATGCTTTAATAAAAATAAAAGAAATACTACACTAAGATAATTGGGCTTGGGCCCGTCTATCACATACAATGGATTTCTACCTGTACACCTTCTCTTATTTATTTATCTTCACAATACCAACTTGTTGTTGCACATGTATTTCATCTTTGAGTTTTCCATGCAAAAAGACACTATTCACATCTGACTAGAAAATACTCCAACCATATTGTGCAACCATTGAAAGTATTATGCCCATGGTATCAAGTTTGGCAACTGGTTCAAATACTTCTATGTAGTCCACTTTATGTTGTTGTACATATCTTTTTGCTACTAGTCTTGCTTTAAATTTGTCGATTTTTCCATTTTCTTTGAGTTTAGTTTTGAATATCCTTTTTACTCTTATCGGCTTTACTNATGCTTTTTGTTTTTTAATTTATGACTTCGGGACAATAACTTGCTTGCAGGTACTAGTAGTTCCGTTATCATCTCTGACAATGCTATTTGAGATGCTGCCATGAACAATGTGCGGTAGCAAAAGCTCCTATAGTTGCCCAAGTCCGGTATGTGTGTATGCTATCATGTACAGGTGTATGTTTTGAAAAGTAGAAGTAAAGAACAACTGCATAATGCACTTCAGAAGCGGATTTTACAAACTAACAAAAATATCCACACTAGTTCCGAACTGTTCTGAACTTGTTTACTAAAGGGGTCAAGTAAAGAACTGATTCATTAAAGCAGTCCAATTCATTAAAGGTGTTTGACTATGAAAGAACGGCACGTTCCAATCACCTACATGAGAGAGAACAGTTGAAGGAAAATATAAATTTCAAAAGACGAGGAAACCTGAGTATAGCAGTCCAAGGCCTTGGCATAATCTGCGTTGGAGAAGCATTCATTACCAAGCTGCTTGGATTTCAAGGCATCTTCCTTACTCTTACCGCACAGACCATACTTTGGATCAGCCAGTTGAGCGATAATCTGGAATCACAGCAATACGTGGGAACAAGAAATTAGGGATTATTGGTTGGGAATAGAGAAGATTTAGGTGGTTTACCTGGTGAAATGGGTCGAAGTGGAGAAAGAAGCGATGAAGAAAAGTGCACGTGCTTTGAAGATCTTCAACATTGCTATCCCCTATCGCTCGCTTCAGGCTTTCTGGAATAGCTGCTTTCAGAGACTCCATCTTCTGCTACTCACGGACAAGAGTCCCGCTGTCTTACACTGTTATGTTTCTTACTCCATCTGTCTATGTGCCCATTTATGAGAAGATTATATTAAATTGATAATAAAAAAAATGAAATGACATGAAATATAGACAACTTATTATTATATCAGTCACTTAATTTTGAATGTTGCAGTAACTCAATTTAATGTTTTCATCCTTAACAAGGTATCCTAAAAAGATATAATTTAACATCAGTGTATTTAGTTCTTCTATGATACGTTGAATTTTTAGATAATTCGATGGTTAAATAATTATCACATAAAACCACAGTATTTTTTTATTCTTTAAAATCAAGATTCTTTATTCCCTTTTCAATCTAAATGCATTGACATGCACAGATACAGTGATTATATGCTCAACTTCAATGTTATCATTAAGACCCTAAGAAAAATAAACATTCATAAGAATTTTTCCTGTCTCCAACAAAACTATTACCTGTATAAACAATTATATTTGTGTTTGTTTCCCCTTTATTGCTTCTTAGAGGATTATGAAAGTGTTCAAGACCCTAAGAAAAATAAACATTCATAAGAATTTTTCCTGTCTCCAACAAAACTATTACCTGTATAAACAATTATATTTGTGTTTGTTTCCCCTTTATTGTAATATATGTCAAGTGAGTGGTCCTTTTCAAGTATCTAAATATTCTTTTGAGCCAATACCATTGAGATTCTATAGGTTTGGGCATGAATTACGGGTGGCAAAATGAGTTAATTGGACTTGTTTAAATTTGAGTCGATATAAACTCACTTAAAATGGGTCGAGTCGGACTGACCTGTCAATTGAAAATGGATTAAAAATTGCAACTCGACTGTGGATTGTCGGATTGATGAGTTGGTCCATAAGTTTTGATTCTTTTATTTTGTCATAAAATCTAATATGCATGGAAATTTACATGAAAGCAAACTGAAATTGATTGAAATATATTATGGCTCTAGTTGTCGGGCTGAATAATTAAATTTACACATATCTTATAGGAAACCATTTAACTTATTTTCTGGCTTTCAACTTTTCGTGCTCGTCCAGAATCATTTACCTCACAGCTTCACATTTATTTTTACTACATTTTTAATGTGAAGTTTCAAATGGGGATGCCATATCTTTTTTACTACCCATTATGTATTTCTGGTTGCACCCGTTACAACTTGCCCTCTCTTTCCATCATCACCAACCCCCAGTCCTATGAAAATATTTTCAAGAATCAGAAGTTGTTGACTTATCCTTTTTGTTATTAAGTTGAACATTTTCCTTATCATTTTCAACTTCATTCTGAGTTATGTAGTCCTCTTTGTCATTGACACCAACATTCGAAGTAGGTTTAATAGTTGACTCATCCATCAATATAAGTTACTGAATACTTACCATACTGATGGACGACGCTCCGAGGAGAAGACGGAACTTGAGCGATTTCGACTCCTCGAGGCATCCTTGACATTGATGCACAGCGGAAAGAAGCAGAGGAAGCAAATGAGGCAGTGGAAATAGCTGAAGAACTAAGAACCCTAGGTTTGGAGGTTTGGAGGTTTGTTCGGTGGAAACTTTAGGGATGGAGGTAGGAGAGGGTTTAATCGGTGGAGAACATAGATCGAAGGTGAAATGGTGCTAGAATAAAGTTTCAATCAATGAAATCACTGAGACGAGGCATTTAACCGATAGAGATGAAGGTAAACAAGGATCTAATCGGTCAAGAGGCATAGAAGGGAAAGGTTCGAGTAAACCCTAGCAGATGAGGGTTAGGTCTGCACGAGTGAGTTTGAAAGGTAGAAGAAAGGCTTACGGTTTGATGCTGTGATGGTGGATTTGTGAGGAAAATGGTTGATGGAGGAGGCGCTCTCGTGGAAGACAAACCTGATGGAAGAGGTTGTCCTTGGTTTGGATTCGAGATGGAGTCGAGATTTGGTGAGGGTGAAACCAAAAATGGCGGTCGTCGGGGAGAGAGAGTGGAAATAGGGTTTGGGTCAAGGGATATCTCAAGATGTGGTGCTACGCGAATGAAATGTGACGCTCGAAAGAGGTTTCGAGACTGAGTGTGAATGAAGACGTGTTGTAAGGACAACGTGAAGATGTGGATGAAGCGGGACGTGCCACAAGCGGATTGGTGAGAATAATGGTTGTGTGTAGAAGTGAAATCTGATGGGAAATGAAATAGAATGGTAAGGTGGTAAATGGAAGGTGGCCGGGGAGAATCATTGGATTCTCCGGCCTTGACTTTCAAGGGTGAATTGGTTCTGGAGTCATCTCTACATAAATGCAATTCAATATTCCCAAAGTGTCTTACAAGAGGTGGTAGCATGTCTATATATAAGACTAACAGTCCCTCCTATCTATCACATACCTAACACCTTTTACACATGCTTTAATAAAAATAAAAGAAATACTACACTAAGATAATTGGGCTTGGGCCCGTCTATCACATACAATGGATTTCTACCTGTACACCTTCTCTTATTTATTTATCTTCACAATACCAACTTGTTGTTGCACATGTATTTCATCTTTGAGTTTTCCATGCAAAAAGACACTATTCACATCTGACTAGAAAATACTCCAACCATATTGTGCAACCATTGAAAGTATTATGCCCATGGTATCAAGTTTGGCAACTGGTTCAAATACTTCTATGTAGTCCACTTTATGTTGTTGTACATATCTTTTTGCTACTAGTCTTGCTTTAAATTTGTCGATTTTTCCATTTTCTTTGAGTTTAGTTTTGAATATCCTTTTTACTCTTATCGGCTTTACTCTTGTTGGCAAGCCAATTAACTCCCATGTTTTGTTCTTTTCTATTGACTTCATTTATTTCATTACTACATCTTTCCACTTCTTACTTTTGCGAGCCTCTTTGAATGTTATTATACCATCTTCAATTACTAGCATTACATTTACGTTATCATCATTGTATAAGCCTTATCCTTTTTCATAATCAACCATCCAAATTGGTTCTATCTTGCACCTCCGAGCTCTCCCTTCAATTGGAATCTCAAGTGCTGGAATATAAGGCTCAATGTAGGCTTCAAATTGTTTGAAGTTTGTTCCAACATTTTTTGCATTTGGCATCTTTATTTATTGTTGCTCCGCATTTTCTACTTCATTATCTTTAGGTTGTTCGTTGGTGTCACTCAATAGTCTTCGTTTTCCCCAATATAAAATATCTTATTAATTTTCTTCTTCATTCTACTTCAAATTCCAAATTTTCTATTCTTCAAATATTACATTTATGATGATTATAATTTTTTTATTAACTAGATCAAATAATTTGTATGTCTTTAATACATCACTAACCCTAAGAAGGACACATCTCTTACTCTTGTCATCCAACTTGATCTGCTACTAGTCTGGCGTATGAACATCAACTAGACATCTAAATACCCAAAAATAATCAACACATGGTTTCACTCCATTCTTTAGAAGTTTTGTCCTACATTGTTATTATAGGATTTCTATTGAGAACATGAACATACCATTTTGTTGATTCAGACCAAAATATTTTGGAAACATGTCTTTCAATCAATATATAACGAACTATGGTTTTGATTTTTCTTTCAATAACTCCATTTTGCTTATTACCTTACCTTAATTTCTACAAAATTCTTCAAACATAGTGGAGATAAATTCTCCTTCACTATATGCTTGTAAGCAGATAAAGCTTCAGTTGCACATATATGCTTTTCAAAATACATATTCCCAAATATAAAAAAAAAATCAAAATACTACTTGAATTTTTTTTCTTTTGAAAGATATTTTCGTCGAAAATACTTTCCAAAATAATATTCTAAAATATAAAAATAAATTCCGAAACAAATTTCCAACATGTATTTTCAAATCAAAAATATTAGAGTTGTCAAAACGGGCCACCCGGCCTGACCCGACCCGGCCCACCACGGGTTGGTCACTTAGTGAGCCAACCCAATCCAGCTCATTTATTAGCGAGCCAGAAAAATTCGAACCCGGCCCGACCCACCACGGGTTGGTGGGTAAACGAGTTGGCTCACTAACTCACTTAATTACAATTTTATTTAAATAAAAAAAATTACAAACTTTCTATAATTCAAATATAAACAAATTTTACTCCCAAATTTCACTCCCAACATGGGTGTTTAATAAATTTTGAAAATAAGGAACTTAAATAATTTTTTCAAACATAAATAAAATAATAAATATTTTTTTATAAAATTAAAATTAAAATTTAATAAAATAAAATTAGGTAGGTGGGTTGATGGGCCAACCAGGCCTACCACGGGTTCAACCCGCATAAGCCGGGTTTAAATGAGCCAGGTTGAAATCTGACCTGCATAAAAAAAATATAATTTTTTCAAACCCAACCCGGCTCAAACCCGTGGTGGACCGGGTCGGCCCTCAGGTTGTGACCCATTTTGATAGCTCTAAAAAATACCTTATGAATTAGGTTTTCTAGATGTATTTATAATTTTTTTTATAAATACATGACTTGGACTTACTTCTTCTTATTCTTGTTTTGATTTTTTATAACTTTTTTTAAATTAAAAATATATATTAAATTCATTAAAGAGAAGAATTGTTTATATCTTTTTTTTTCTGGAAAACAAATTTGGAAAAAATGGAAGAAGAGGAAAGGTGCTTAAAGGGAACACCTAAGCCAAAATCAAGAATGACTCTTCCATCTTGTATTGCACTTCTTTACAAATCACAAACTAATTAATTCATCAAGCATTGCAAATTCTAACAAATCAAATTTCTGAAATCACGCGCTCTTTGTTGATTAGATCATTCTCACTTGAACCATGGATCATAACTCTGGTATCTTAGACAACATTAACCTCCCAGAACAACACATCTACAACCACCTGTTGATACAACCCAAACCCCAACACCACACATCACCAAAGTCACCAATCAAAGACAATCTAAATCCCAACCCCGTACAACCATCAATCAGAAACAATCCAAATCCTAGCTCCGCACAATACCTCTACAGCCACCAATCAAACACAACCCAAAACACAGCCCGCACAATATTAAAGATAGGGGAGGTGCAATGATATATTTGTGAAAGAAGAAAGCGGAAGAATGA